TCGCCTGCACCACGCTCAGCCAGTGAGTGCACTGGCCATCCCTATATAGGATCCGAACCCGCGTCCTCTGGCGCTCCCAGCACCACACTCTCCCGAGGGAGCCACAGGGTCGGCCCCGAAGGAGACTTCTGATGGCCAAAGCTGAGGACAAAGAGGTGCCAAGTACATTCCAAAACAAGCCACCAACAACAGTGCAGGGACCTTTTTCAGGGAGGCAGAACTACCCTGCCACCAGCACCCAGTGCTCCAACCCTCTTCCTAGTCTACATGTGAAAAGGGAGGCTAGGAGGGAGCTCAGTGGTCAGTCCTGTGGGGACTGCAAACCTGATGGTGACAGGATTTCCTGCTCTCTCTGAGATAAAGGGGTGCTCCCCCACAGGAAAGAAGTCAGGGGGCCCTGAGAGAATCACTGTAGGTACTGGAAGTGCCTACAGGAAGGAGAGATCGGCATTTGCTCTCCAGCTGGAAGACCTGTCACGCATCTGCAGGCCCAAGTTACTGGTGCCACCATCAGAGCACCCAGACTTGCATCCCCAGGGACAGAGAGGCTGACCCCGCTTTGTGCCTGGAGCTAGGGCAGCGGGTGCAGGAGGAAGAGCAGGCACCATGAAGGGCAGGGCCTTGAAAGAAAAGGACGGGAGGCCTCACCGGTTCCCTCCAGCTTTCAGGGGATGAGAGAGGTCCAGTGACCCCTGTGGCTCCCTGCAAGAGGTGAGAGGAGGAGGAGGAGGCCAGCACTAGGGCACTCTGAGCTGCCAGGGGTGATGCCGAACATCACTACCTCTAGGGGCAACCACCCCCAGCAATGACCACAAGTGACCAGAAGTGATGGGATCTGCTTGAGGTCAAGTGCCTCACTCACTCACTCACTCACTCACTTACTCACTCATTCACTCAACAAACACGTGCTGAGTGCCTACTCTGCTGCGCAGGCGCTGTTCTAGGCTCGGGGGCATCGGCAGCGAACAGAGCAGAGCAAATCCTCCCCCCGCGGGGTGGACAGTGTGGCAGGGGAGACAGACGGTGAACAACACATAAGTCATTTGAGTGTTTCTCAAACGATTCGAGGTGAGGGACCACTTTTTAAAGATTCCAATTTGTCACAGACCGCTACTTTTATAAAATACGATTAAAACGAATTACTAGAAAGATTGCTGTATATGTTTCTAAATGCTTACTCTCCTTTTCCTGTCATGTACAGGTAACAGTTTGTGGGCCAGCAGCAGCCAGGGACCACACTTCGGGGGCACTGCTGTAGAGAAACGTGGCAGGATGAAGGAGAGAGGCCAGAGGGTGACTATTTTATTAATGGGGTGGGAAATACAGCCTCTCTGACGAGGTGACGTTTAAGATATCAGTAAGGGGTGGTCAAGGGAGATGTGACCAGGTCTGGCTGAGGGCGGTGATTGGAAAGAAGAAAACCCTTTCATATCTGTCACCTGTGGAATCCACAATGAAACGGACCCTCCACATCCTTGGGGACTGTGACCCTGCATGCTGCTGCCTTCCTTTCCCTTGCCAGGAAGCCTCCTGACCCCCTTGCCAGGCGGGCACTTGCCCTCTTAGGGCCTCAGGCCAGGCACCACCCCTAGAAGCCCCCAAGCCTCAGTTTCTCATGCTTAAAATGAGGACAATAGTACCTGGGCCATTGCGGGGATTAAATTTTAAAAATCTATGTAGAGGGACTGACATTGTGCCTGGCCCACGCTGAGTGTGCCTCATTACTCATTGCTCACTTCCTCTGTTCTTAGCTCTGAACTAGAGGGAGAGGAGAGACACAGAATCATGGTTCCTGCCCTCGGGAAGCCAACAGTCTAGTGGGGAGTGGCATAACCCACTCCCAGCAAACAGAGGGCAAGCAGGTGCAAGAGAGTGGCAGTAACTAGGGGTGTGACCGAGGAATGACCAAGCGTTTACAAGGTGCTCTCCAAAAATGTCCTGTCTTCCGCAGCTCTGGGGGAAGCCAGGAGCGGTGGGTGAGGGCTGGTGCTGGGTTTGGCCGTCTCCTGGGGAGGTGGGCCCTGGAAGGAGAGGAGACGAGGGCGCACAGGGCGGACAGAGCAGGGCTGGGACCTGGCAGGCTGGTTTGTTGGGCACATATGGGCTAGTTCAAGGATTTTTAACCCTGGCCGCACATTGGAAGTACCTGGGATGTTTTTCTAAATCTTGATGCGCAGGCCTCACCCCACACCCATTAAATCAGAATCTAGGGGCTGGGACCAAGACATGGGTATTTTTTTTTAAAGCTCAGAGATTCCAAATCACTGCATGCTTTGAGGGTGGGATTGAGAAGCCCACCTCTCTACCACCCACCATCCATCCCATGGTCCCCTAGGGGTTGGGTCATAAGGCTCAGCAGACACAGGACACACTGAGAAGAGACAGGCTCAGAACCCTGTGAACTTGTCCTTCCTCCTCTGGGAAGCCTCTGGTTCCACCCGAGGGTACCCCTCTTCTCAGGGTTAAATCCAGAGCTAGTGGTCTTCTTATTGTTCTAGGAAACCACTCCCGGCTGACCCCACAGGTGGTCGTGTACCTCCTGTCTTCTCAGTGCCCTGCGTGGCCTCCCTGAAGGCTACTGTCTCGGTTCTCCTGGAACTCAGCAAATGCTCGGTGGCTTCACCGCCTCCTACCCCTTGTTGGGCCACACTGGGACCTACGGCTGCACACTAGGGGAGGAGCATGGCTTCTACTTGGCTGCTGGGTCTAGGGAGGCATTTTCTGGGAGATCATCCATCACCTTCTTTGGGCTCACGGTCAGTATTAAATTCCAAGACTCGGTTGTTGATTTGGAAACAACATTAATCTTTTAAAGACCACATCCTGTGACCATGGGCACATACTTGATCTAGGATGAATGGTACCCGTGTGCCCAGGATGGCCCTGGTTTTTGTAATCCACACTAGGAAGGTACCATTTATTCTGCTGTTCTAGGAGAAGCCATCTGGGGCAGAGGTGGTGGCCATG